TTTTGATTTCTTTTTTAAATAGTGAAGGATTTATGCCTTTTAAACTTGAGGAAATAATTTGGATTATCAGGGATGAGCATAATCAACTGGTGGTTGCTGCTCAAGTTCCTAAAATCGTTATTGGGTGTAGTTTGAATTCTTCATCAAAAAATAATAGAGATTAGAGATAATATATGAAGGTTGGTGAATTTTATTAGAGTAAAGAGATTAAAGACAATTTAATTTTATTCACTATATGAGTATTAATTTTAATGCTTATTTGGTGATTTCAATGGTGATTTACAATGTTAAGAATTGTGAGTAAATAGTGTGACAAATAATGAGAAAGTATTAAAAGATGGGTGAAGACATTGGCTGCTATGGTAGTGGACTAGTGGTGGTTCAACAATGGTGATGAAGAACATGTACAGGTGGGGTGATTTTTTTTTGAGTAATAAGAGAGATGAGGGGGTGGGGTGGTGGGGGGGGGGGGTGGGGGGGAGTAGAGAAAATTAAATGAAAGTCAAAAGTAAAAAAATTATATTTAAAAAAAAGTCATAAATATTTTTAAATATACTTTTATCAGTTTTTTCAATTTTCACATGCCTTCAAGAGAGTGAACACACTCTCTATGCCATGTCAGCACTTAAGGGTGCATTTATACCACTTTAAAATAGTTCAAGGGGGTAATAGGACCCCTATAAAATATAAGTGTGTAGTTGAGAATTCGATTATAGATTGAGGGTGTATTTGACCATTTTCTCCTTACAAAATCAAATATATTATATTACTACTTACCTTGTCATTTTTAAGTAAGTGTTGTTCTTAAGAACTGAATCTATTTTCGTTCAAATATAATTTCTATTGTCGCAATAGATATTTTTTGTACATTTTTAAAAAATTAGAAAGCTTAATTAATTAATGAGTTACTAATTTATATTAATTTAATTTTAATAGTGACTAAGTTTATCAAATAAGCTAATCTTGCAAAATAATTATTTTTAATTTGATAAATTATGGCTATTTAATAAAGAAAGTAGTTATAATTTAAGTGAATTTAATTTGAGCAAATTTGACAATCCAAGTCTTCTTAAACCGGCAAATCTGTGTATGCCACGTAGGCAAACACATGGATTGTGCTTCTTTATCTTAAGTCTTGACCCTACGATTAAATCTAACGGTCCTAGTTAATTAAGCTTTTACCATTATTTAAATATATATATATATATTATTTTTTTTCTTTTAATCCCTGATTTATCTTAACCGTCCGATCAAACGATCGGACGACCCAAATTAGATAAGACCTTTTCATCTTTTCCAAAATAGTACAACCTATTAGCCGCCTGCCATCTCGTTCCTTTCCCAGAAACCTTTCATGCTTCATCTCCCATCAAGCTTTCTCCTCCTCTGCCAACGTTTCTACCTACGGACCACCGGAAAATGGCAATTTCCAGTGGTCTTCAACATATCTCCCTACCCTCCATCAATCATAGCTTCCCTCTTGTCAACTTTACATCCCTTCCATCATCTTTTTTGAACCGAAACAGACCTCAAAAGTCCCATCACCGCCACTGCTACAACTAAAAATGTGGAGAACGTGAAGGACCATCGGATTTGGGATCATTATCCCTTTGATCCGATGGTTGTGAGATTGGAACCCCCAATCCATCACTCATTCTTTCAAATCAATCTAAAAAGGGGTTGATAATATTTTCTTCCCCTTCATCATTATTTTCTTCTAAGATTTGATCTTTCAAAGATTCAAATTTGAATCATTGAAGCCTCCCCCAACAATAAAAGGAGGAGTTTGGTTCTCATTCGAATCCATCCAAGAACGACAGAAAAGAGGTACAAAAGCACACTTCAAGCATTAGGTTTTTCAGAAAATTTCGATCTTCTTTCAACTTTCTGTTTAGATTTTGAATTTGCGTTTTGAGAGTAAGTTTGAAGTTGGAATCCTTGACGAAACGCTCCTAGTTTGCTGCCCCACACAAGGTTAGTAGTCTCCCTTATTGTTAGCCTCCTAAAAATTGATTATGCTTGTTTGAATGTTCTCATATTTGATTTAGTTTTGTATTGTAAATGGTTTTTCCATAATCTGCCTCATCTTGACTTTGATACATAATCAACACGTAAATAATTTTCTTTTCTTAATTTTTTTTATGTAGTGATACTTGTATCTTGTTAGAAACTTGAATTCAAAATGAGTAAGGATCGGTCTTTGACATAATCCCCATTAACAATCAGTATACAAGATTTGAATATATGAGGAACTCAAGTTATCTGTTAATTCTTTTTTTTGTTTTCATTCCGTGATGATTTGAGTGGGTTATTGGTGATCGTTTAAGCCCCCCCCCCCCCCCAAACTCGTTATTTATCTAGTTAATTCTTTTCGTTGTTACTGTTAGGATAGAAGTAGAGTTTGTTTCCTGTAATAATATGAAGTAATAGTCAAATTATGAATATCTTTGAGGAAAGTGGACAGACATGTTTGATAGGAGAAAGAGGTATCCAAGTTTGAATGATAGTGATTCTGTTTTGGTGGTTAGGTATTAGCTTCTTTTTTATCGAATGAAAAGTTTCGTTGTTATCGGCTTAATCTTCCTCTTCTTTTGAAATGAATAAAATAAATTTGACATGACGGTGACCACTCCAGGAACTATTTCTTGCCTCTAAAAGTAATGTTACAGACCATTTTTTTATTTTAAATATACATGAAATTGTACACAATGTGCATTACTCATACAATAGTTCCATCTAGTATGCAAAATGATTGATAGTATTCTCTCACTATCCCTCACATAAACTATGCAAATATTTGTTACATCCCTCTTCAGAGATTTCGTGTTAACATTATTTACTTCTCCTTTTGGACTTACAAGAATAAACATATGTTCCTATGCTTTAGAAAATGGTTCGAGATACATTAAACCTTCCATCGTATGTAGAAAACATATTTATATGCTACCTGATTATATAATGTTTACTTATCAAGTCTTCTGATAATTATAGTGTCCATTTGCTAATTATTTTTCCTCTAGATATGTTTCATGTACAATCGGAGGACTGGAGTTTCTACTTTGGAACTCGTTATTGGCCTAAAGTATTAGGCCAACAACAATTAGGATAATCGCAATGCTTGGACTCTCGCAAATTAGGAGTCTAATGTTTTCTTAGCCTTTCTTTCGTTGTCCTATTTATGTTGTTTTTGATATGTTTGGCTAACCTTTACTTACAAGCTTTTGATATATTGCTTGGCTTTTATTTTGAAGTTTATTTACGTGAGCTAATATTATTTGTTTTATGAATTTAGTTGATACACCTTTAGAACAAATGATACAAAAGATTTTTTTTTTTTAAAAATGGGTTAGCATTTTCACTTATAACATTCTTTCAGGCCTTTTAAGTTGAAAAGAGGGGCTTATAGTTTTAAAAGATCTCCAAATGAAGTTTCAAAAGGGTGAAATAATATTCATTTAGGTATTTAAGTAGGAAAAAATAAAACTAATGAGTTGGGACTTCCAAATGAATTTAGAGATACATAAAGGCTAAAAATAATTAACTTTAAAATAATTAACTTGTGGAATTATATTTTTTTAAAAGAAAAAATAAGTAGGGAAGTAGACTTATATATTTAAAAAACAAAATGTGACTATAGAATGAGTCCTAATAGTTAGGGCTATTTTTATACTCTTTACATCGCCCCTTTACAAAATGTATTGACTTTTCTTACTTTTTGGATCAAACATTGCTAAAAATATTTTAATCTTTTAACATGTTTTTTCAAAATTTTAGATATGCCAACAAATTCAAATACAAGGTACATACATATATATATGTCACACATATAAAGGTATATTTTCTCTACATAACCTATTATTATCTACTATCTCTTTTACTAATGTTATTTATTTATTTTTATAATCTATAAATGCCTACACATATTACTTTACTAAATCTAATCTATTGTTAACTTATCCTTACATGTAAATAAAATAATAAACATTCACATGTTTTACACAACTTACATGTATATATTATATTTTATAATAAACATAATTTAGATAACAAACTCTATCTAGTATTTTAACATTTAATATCATTATTATTTATTTATTTTAAATTTTTAGGAAACTCTATTTTTATGTATTTTCATCCAAATTACATATCACATATTACTACATATTTACACTTGATTACTATCTTATTTATTTATTTTAATTTTTTTTGGTCTTATTAAAACGACATATTTTCATAAATTCAACATTTATACGCTTTTTAGGATAACTTTACTATGATACATATATATTTTCCAATATATAAAAATTAACATACCTTTAAGTACATTTATTTATTTATTTTACAATATGATAAAATACTACTATTAAATCTATTTTATAAGACATTTATATGTCGTACCTTGTATTTTACTCTTTTCTTAAACTAACCAATTAACTTAGCATTGATTTTTAAAGAAAATAAATAAACAAGTTTTTCTAATCATATTTTCCTAAATTGAGTTTAAGGACTATCTTCGGATAGGCTCTGAGGGGTGCTTAACACCTTCCCCTCGAGTAATCAAAACCTTTACTCAGAATCTCACTGGTTTCGCAAATCAAAAATAGAGTTTACATTTACATACATAAAATAGTTTTCCTAATATTTTCCTTAAAATTTAGGTGGCGACTCTAAATAAACAAAATATTTTTTTCAAAAATCAGAGTGAAAACCATATTATGTTGTGACCTGTTTCGGCTAGTTCGAAATAGGGTGCGATAGTTATTAACTGAGCAAATGTTTCATTAATGAATGGTGATGCGCCTTTTTTTGACATATACAACAGCAACAACAAATTCACACCTACAAAACTCCCTAACATCCTCCAAATTAATCTAGATTTAGAAAAGTAGGGAGTACAGATTCATGTTTAGCAAATTCCTCAACAGCCTACAAACTCACCTAGATTTAGTCAATAACAAACCACAGGACTAACTATGAATTAATTGATATGCTGTACTTACCACAAAATACTATGAGCATATTGGGCATTCATGTGGCTTGCCCTTCTCGAGCCAGAACCAAACAACATCATGCTCATCTTCCCCTTCATCTCTAGGTATCCTACAATTCTTCTATCATAGTAGGATTTGACAACAAGAGGCGCTTCCTTTGTACCAAAAGGACCTTCAGGAAAGTTAATGTGAAGAATATCCCTTCAAATTAGACTTTGTTAGCTGATAGAAGACAATTCCTAAGACATTTACAAGCTTTCAAATAAATATTTCAATCTCTAATGTCCATACTATCTCAAAATAAAAGCAACTAACTCATACATAGACACAAATAAACTAAAAGAAAACAAAACATTTCAAAAGACAATCTACAATACCATTCTAGAACACCTGGCCAATTTAAATGGACACCGAATTTAATACTATATGTAACATAATGAAACTCAAATTTAGAAAATGTGCAGATTATTTAGAACTCAAATTGCATCTAACAATTCAAAATCTCATAAAATGAAAAGATAGTCATATAAATTATGATTTTTGATTACCATCAACAGGGCAAACTGATAAACGGAAGAAGGTTGGCATTTATGAACATAGTGATTGAATCTATCTTCATCGTTACAACCCATATATACACCCGTAAATCCCCCAAGTACCCACACCTGTAAATCCCCTAATTCATCAAAACAATGTCGAAATTCTTCAAACTATTTTTCCAGTTTCTCGAATGTAGGCGAACCAAGTATCGACTATCGTAAAATTCCTTCTTCCTCCAAACAATGTTGAAATTCTTCGACCTATTTCTCCAGTTTCTTGGATGAAGGTGAAGAAAAATTAAGGAAATCACCACCATTCATCGAAGTGCTGAAAAATGTAGAGTGACAATGAGATTTGAAAAATGACGAACTGGTTACAATGGAGAATTTATGAGTCAAAATAAGAAGAAGAAGAAGAAGGAAGTAGGGTTTAGGCGTGAGATTTGTGATATGGGCAAATAGCAACTCTTATTCTTATTTGGGGCACACATTTGATTTTAGAGTTAAAGTTGTTTATATTTGAGAGTTTTTGTAATTTATTTTGCATGAGTTTCTTTTTTGGCCAATTGAAAATTAGAGGGAGAATTAAATATGTTGGAGGGAATAAAATATCTTAGAGAAAATTTTAGGAAATCTATAATGTCACACATATAAAGTGTTGTTTTTTAAATTATAAAAATACCACACTTTAAAAGTGCATTCATAGATGTAAATAAGCATTGCCAATTATATCATGATATGACTATGCTTAAAATATATAGCATATACCACAAAAGAGCACGCTTGACAAATGTTGCTAATGTTATCGTGGTCAAAACGTAAAAACTAAGGCTACACTTTAAAAGTGTACCCAAAAATATTTAAAGCAACACTTTACAAGCGTTGTTCAAAGTTAGTGTGGCCTTAGGCCTAAAATGTTGTAGTGAAAGATTAGATATGAACTCCTCTCAGTAGCTCAATTCTTTTAATATATTATTCACTCAAAATGGTTCATTTTTTCCTCCTTTATTTTCTTCAATAGCGAATGACAACAAAATTGAAATTTAAAATATTTAATTGAAAGTTATGCTCTAAATTCAAAGGGCAAAGAAAAGTAGATCAAAGTTCAACAAATCTAACCATTCCAAAAAGAAAAAATGAAGAAATATATGTGTTTGAATCCCAAGTCTTCAGTTCCAAATACACATGGTGAATTCAAACTAGTTAGGCTTATTACATAAATTATATGCATCATGCTAGGGTACAATCGAATTTCATTTTAATCCAAAAAGAAATAATTTTAAAAATTACTTATTATTAATTACTCATATTTAAATTTTGCATGTCATAATTTTTTCTATAGAATACATTGCCAATAAAAGTGAATCGAATACATAACACTATACCTAAATGAATATTTAGTAGCAACAAAAAATTTAGTGATAATATTTATTGTCGCAAAAATATTTAACGGTAATAAATTAATGTCATTCTATCTTAGAATCATTAAAACATCTATTAATATTTATATAAAGTGTTGATTATATACCATATATTATTTTCACTAAACATAATGTAATGGTAATTATATTATCACCACTAAATAGTTGCTACAAAAAAATTAATTGTTGTATGTAAGTTCTTTACTTCCATAGTATAATATACTCCAATTACCAAATTAACATTTAGTTTCTCATCTACTTTCTGACACTTCACTATATCTATGTCTATCATTGTGTCACACTGAAAAAGACTTCTTCTTATTTTATTTAAATTCTCAATCTTTCGATCATTGCCAAACAACCAAGTGTCCAAAAATAAAAAATAAAAATAGTTGGTTGGTGATGACCCTTTGAAACAACAAGGCTGGTGCTAAAAAATGACATGTTATAATTTATTTTGATGAAAATTTGTAAAGGAAAAGAAAAAAACCAAAATTATTTGAATGTTTTGTTGACTTGAAGTGGCATCTTTTAAAAAGTTTCCGATTCTACTTATAAATAAATGTCGCGATGAAATGAATAATTGTTGCACTTTTATCATATTGTCTCGTATTTGAAAAGTTAAAAAATTCTAAAGAAAAATATTTTCCTTTTTAGTTGGGTCCAAAGGTAAATAGTAAACACTAAATAGGAAAAAAAAACACGAAGAAGAAAAAAAGGATTGACAAGTTTTCCTAGTTTTTCTTTTGAACTTTCTCTTGTGTGTTTGTATTGTCTGAATAAATTTGAATAATTGAGATTTTTAATAAAGTTTTAATATTATTTAAATATAATTTAAAGATTTCTATAAAGAGAATGCGTATTTCATCACTACTTCATCCATTTTGATAGCTAACCGTTATCTCTAAGCACTAGTATGAATCAACTACCACGGAGCCAAAACCATTTATATATATATATATTACTATATAAGAAGAGTGAATAAAATTCACTCTTCTTTCGACACATGGCACCAAGATGGCCCACCTACTTTTATATTTGGTTTTATAAGAAGAGTGAATAAAATTCACTCTTCTTTCGACACATGGCACCAAGATGGCCCACCTACTTTTATATTTGGTTTTATAAGAAGAGTGAATAAAATTCACTCTTCTTTCGACACATGGCACCAAGATGGCCCACCTACTTTTATATTTGGTTTTATAAGAAGAGTGAATAAAATTCACTCTTCTTTCGACACATGGCACCAAGATGGCCCACCTACTTTTATATTTGGTTTTATAAGAAGAGTGAATAAAATTCACTCTTCTTTCGACACATGGCACCAAGATGGCCCACCTACTTTTATATTTGGTTTTATAAGAAGAGTGAATAAAATTCACTCTTCTTTCGACACATGGCACCAAGATGGCCCACCTACTTTTATATTTGGTTTTATAAGAAGAGTGAATAAAATTCACTCTTCTTTCGACACATGGCACCAAGATGGCCCACCTACTTTTATATTTGGTTTTATAAGAAGAGTGAATAAAATTCACTCTTCTTTCGACACATGGCACCAAGATGGCCCACCTACTTTTATATTTGGTTTTATAAGAAGAGTGAATAAAATTCACTCTTCTTTCGACACATGGCACCAAGATGGCCCACCTACTTTTATATTTGGTTTTTGAAGATGGCCCACCTATCACAAAGATGGCTCACCCTTTCATTATATTTTAATTTTTTCCTTTTTAAATAGTACTAAAAAAAAAAATTAAAATATCACAAATTCGATTAACTCTCAAAATTTTACGCGAATTCTATAATTAAGACGAAGGGAATAACATATATTATTTGAAAAATTACATTAAGAATACCATAAACCACAATAGTTAACAACTTACAATATTTGAAAAACATATTAACTCTCAAAATTTCACATGTGTCACATAAATTGGGACAAATGGAGTAACATATATTATTTGAAATTACGTTAAGAATATTATTAATCACAACTTAAAGTATTTAAAAATACATAACATATATTATTTGAAAATAATGTAAAAAATATTATAAATCATAATAATTAACAATTTAACGGATATTGTGCCCGTGCTTCCATTTAGAAGTGAGAATGTTTAGGAGCTTAGGGTTAGTCAGTCAATTGACCGATTTGCCCTTCTTCTTCAACTTCCTCTATTTACTACAAAAATAGTACTAAAAATCAATTTAAAATATTAAAATTTTGGTTAATTCTTGAAATTTCACATGTATTGCATAATATAATAGAGTGAGTAACATATATTATTTGAAAATTATATAAATAGTACTAAAATATAGTTTAAAATAGTACTAAGAATTTGATTAACTCTCGAAATTTCATATGTACTGCGTAATTGAGATTGAGTGAGAAATATATATTATTTGAAAAATAGAATAAATATGTGATATTATTAGAAAGAGCTTTAATATATATTTTAAAAATTATTTTGTCTTCCGTATATGATTTTCTGCATATATGTGGAGTTTTAAAGTTTATAACATTTTAATATAGAAATATGATTATTTGAAAATTTTAGTACTTTCTTCATTTAAATTTTTCCTTGTTTTTCTTTTAATTTGTTCTAGATTTAAAAATTACATAAAAAGTACTTAAAATCACAATGTAATAATATAAGATATTAAAAAAACATAATTAAAAATCATAAAAGAAATTTTATTGACTCTTTAATTCCATATTGAAACATAAGAAGTTTGTTTGAAAATAACATAAAAAGTAACGTAAATTAAAGAAAAATAACAACTAAAAATATTTAAGAATCATATAAGAAATTTAGTTGAGTTTCGTAAAAGTACCTACGTCACAAAAAAGGGAACAGAAAGAGTAATATATATTATTTGAAAATGATATAAGAAGTGCTATAAATCACAATAAATTAACAACTTCAAAATATATTTAACAAAATCACATACAAAAAATTATATAACTCTCCAAATTTCATCGGTGTCACATAAATTGAAACAAAGAACTACTCCCAATTTATGTTATTTACTTTCCTTTTTAGTCAGTCCCAAAAGAATGTCACATTTCTATATTAAGTAACAATTTGATTATAAAATATTTATTTTACCCTTAATGAAATAATTTACAGTCATACAAATTTATATCATTCATTTTGGACCACAAATTTTAAAAGTCTTCATTTCTTTTTTAAACTCCCTGGTGAATCAAACTACCTCACATAAAATGAGACGGAGGAAGTAATATACATTGGGCCCGCGCTGGCGCGGGAACCTAATAACTAGTATATATATAAAGGACAATCTTAGACATGCTTATGTGGCATGCTTCTAAGAGCTAGAAAACTATTTTATTTTATTTTTGTGTTTTTGGCCATTTTTAAAATTTTAAAATACAAAAAATTCACCTAAATATTAAAGATAGTCACATTTAATTCTTTCTTTATCAATAGTCATATTTAATTT